CCCTGGCCTCGTACTCATCAGGCCACAGGAGAGGCTTGCTGAGCTTACTTGTAATTGAAGTACCTGATGCTTTCCGACTGTGATATCTTACAGTAAAGTCCAGCTTTCTGTCTTGTCCTAAAAACATCAGAGGCTCCAAACACTTCAGGCCCCAGGCTAGCAGCCATGTGGAAACAGTGTCACGGCTGTCCCCTTGGAAGGACACCACGCAGGTCACCACAGCCCCACTGCTCCTGCCACTTCCAGATAGAGGTGCTGCCCCTTCACCTAGGCTGTAGCTTTCCAACAGCACAGGGAGGCCTGCAGTGAGATGTGTCCCGAGTTCATGTGTCAGTCAAACAGAGGAAAGCTGAAACAGGAAAGTCAGGCTGGGTCTCAACAAATGGGAGAGGGTGCCCATCCTAGGACCTCTGCTCACCCATGTTACCTCCTCGGTCTTAATTGCCTGCAATTTCTCTTTCTAGCCTCGAGAGTTCCTAAGAAGCAAGTTAATGAAAACCATATCCTTCCTCGTTTTCTAGAGAGTTTCCTATCTGGTGACACTCTGCATGCCACAGCCCTTCTTCAGAGTTCCTCTGACATTTGTGGTTACCCAAGACCTTGTCCCAAGTAGCTATGACGAAAGGTGAAGAGGGGGATGCCCATGTGAATAGCCTGACTCATGTCACTCAGAGCCCCTTTCAGGGTCCAGGAACTTGGAACTGGGCCCATCTTAAGCAATATTTTGGAGACATACCCCTAGTCCAGCTCTCCCGGAAATCTGAAGCTTTGTACGAGAAGATTTTGTTCAAAGTCCTAGGTGGCCAGGAGTTACAAAGTCACTATAACCTTCCTTCTATAAGCCAGAAGCACACCTGTGGGCTCAGAGTGAGACCCGTGCTAGGCTCTCTGCCGTACCTCCAGCTGGGCAAAGACCCCAGGCCGGGAGGCCTGTGTGACCTGTGCTAGGCTCTCTGCCACCGTACCTCCAGCTGGGCAAAGACCCCAGGCTGGGAGGCCTGTGGGCTTCAACTTCCCCTTTACAGGTGCCCAGACAAGCAGGAACCCTGCCACTGAGTCTAATGTACTACAGGACTCCGTGCTATGTGGCCCCCAGGGCTGTGACCCATGTGAGCCCAACTCAGTGGGCTTGTGGGCATTGCTCAGGTGATCCCTCCAATCCAGCCTGAACCCTCCCTCCACTCACTCAGGTAAGCTGTCTTTGTCTTTGTTATCATCTAGGACCCGGACATAGACTTTGAGGACTAGAACTTTGTCAGCCCTCCAGACACTTACAGAGGCCTCCCTGGGCTCCTAGAGGACTTGTCTCCTGCATGCTCAGAAGGACAGACAGACACACATTCCTCTTCTGTTGCTGCCTCACGGGGTTTAAGACAGCAGGTTTCCCCCAGAACCACAGATGAACTGACGCTTGAGGCCAGAGGTGGGTGCTCACACAGGCATGGGGTCAGGGAAGCCCAGAGCTAGGTGCTCACACAGGTGTGGTCAGGGAAGCCCAGCCCTCCTGTAATACCTCACCTGGGGTTGGGAACTCGTGGTCTCTGTGTTCCTACTGGTCAAAGGGATTACCTAGAAAGTGGTATGCTAGAAAGAACTTCCTAGATGGGTAGATCCAAAGGGTCCTGACCTAGGTGGGCCATATCACAGGCTCTCACACTCTAGGTGAAGCAGGACTGGGTGGCCCTCTCCAATATTTTTAACTGGTATGTAGTTCTGTCCTTCAAGCTGGGCCACTCAGAGCTGCTGGTAGCAATGGCTTTACCAGAGACTGTAGAAATATACAACAGATGGCAATTAATAATTCAGGGGTCGACCCACCAGAGGAGTAACCCTCTGATGGAGGAATCCCATCAAGCAAGGCTTACGGAACCGCAGACTCTGGACTGGTTGCTTCTGTCTGTAATTTTTCTTGTGTGTCATTACATTTCTTCCCTAAGAACTGCTCTGGGTGTTTTCCCTCTGCTTGTGTGTTTATCTCATGAATATATTCCATCTACTGGGCACACATATAGCTGTGGATGGTCAGGAAGATGATTTCTGCTTAAGCTGTATAATTCTGATGAATAGAAATAATACTAGGATATTTTTCATTATTCAGATGGACATAGGAAAATACTCAGCTACAAAGACAGTCTTTTATACATTTTTGCTAAGATCTCAGAGCAAATCCAAAATAGACTAAGTTGCTCCTGGAGACAATTTGTTCAAGGACAAATTCCCAAGTGTCTGTTGAGCCAAAGTCAGGCTGAAAGCATTAGGACATAAACCCCCTGCAGTAATAGACCTTCTGCACGTACTCTTAACCTCGGTTTATGATACAAGACTAGGTTTAGCCAGCTAATTGTTTACCGCTTAGGTCCTTGGTTTCAATATCACTTTCTGTCTGGGAACCCTGACCACTTAGGCCAAGTGTTACTCACTGGCCCATCAGTGTGACGTCTGTAGTCTGAGAAACTGTGTGACTTATCATGTGTTATGAGAATGGGTCAGACCCTGTATATGTAACTCAGTATTGCCCAGAGTTTAGCTGTTGAAGTGAGTGTATGTGTGTGAGTGTGAGTGTGTGTGTGCTAAAAGAGGGATGGAGCTGAATGTGCAGAAGAGAAGTGAGAAGGAAGTGTGAGGAGATGTAGCTGAGTGGGTAGAGAGGTGTAGAAAAGAAACGTGTATGTAGGGGAGATGTATGTGAAGGAAGAGATGTGGCCATATGGTGACAGAGCCATATAAATGAGATGTATAGCTGAGGCTGTGTGGAGATTTGTAACTGTGTGGAGACAAGGAAAATGAATCTGTACAGAAAAGAGATATAACTGTGCAAAAGAAATATGTAGCTGTGTGGAAATGTAACTGTGTGAAAATAGATGTAATTATGGAGAGAGATGTATGGCTGTGCAGGAAAGAGATGTATGCATGTAAAGATATATATATATATCTGTATATATATCTGTATATAAAGAATGTAGCTGTGTAGAGTTCAGAAAGAAAAATTTTCAAGATAAAGTAAAAGAGAAAGTTACCATCACAAAGTGTGTATTTCCTTATTTCCCCTAAGAGAGAAAAAGTCTAGCCCTTGCCACATCTGTGGATTTTTTTTTTACATACCCTGGTGCTTCCTAGAGGCTCTCACTCCAGTTAACAGTTTTTATATCCTGCTCTCAACTCTGCTCCAAGCCCTCTCAGATCTAGCCTAGCTGAGAGCCTATATTTTCCCACAATCCATCCATTTTCTGTCTAGCTCTTAGATGGAGGTACCTGGAGATGAGGCAATAAAGTCTTGTTCCAGGGTCCTCAGCACAGACCCCTGAGTGCATCGTGCAACAGGTCCATAGATGGTACTCATGTCTACCTTACACTGCCATAGCTCATCACCCAGTTTTGAGGCCCTTTGGGGTCCATCCATTTCCCTGACTGACTCCCACCTTCCTCCTCTCTAGACACTTCCAAGCAAGCCTTCAAATCCCCGTGGCTCAGACCTTATCCCACCATCATCCCAGCGTCCTCCACAGAGCAGATGTAGGTAGGAGAAGTTAAAACAGGATGACATCAAATCCTATCAAGAAACTTCACCCACTTCTGGGCCTGGTGTCTCAGACCTGTAATACCAGCTGCTTAGGCAGCTGAAGCAGGAGGATTACAAGTTCCAGGCCCTGGATAACTTAGATCTTCTCTCAAAAATAAATAAGTAGATAAATAAGTCTGGGGAATGTGTGTCTTCATTGAATATCTTCCACCGTCTGGACCCAGTGAGGAGAGTCCCTGTAATTTCAGACTGGAGAGCTTTTCTGAAGCAGACAGGGCAGGGTGCCTGCTCATGAAATGTCATTCTGCATACCCTTGCTTTTACCCCTGGGATGGGACGGGATGGGCCTGCCTCATACCTCCCTGGTGGCTCTGTTGTGATCCTGCATCTCCTCTGTCCTGACACTGACTTTATGTATTGGAGAGAGACACATCCTCATGGCAGCTGGGCAACAGGCCCTCCCCTCTGCCTAGTGGGGAGTATCAGCCTCACACTCAGAGGACTTGGGACCTGCACTAGACACTGCCTGGACAGGGAGCTGGGGACCTGGGCCAGGGTGCTCTGAGTAAGCTCGTGGGTCTCCCATTATGTCACACAGCTGAACCCCAGGCTCAGTGAGCAGAGCAGTCACAGCAACATTTCGAAGGCTACCAGCAAAAGGGGCTTATCATATACATAACATAACAGGAAAGACCAGGGATCCAGCCCCTCCATTCTACAGAAATGGAAACTGAGGCAGGGAGAGGGCAACACCTCATCTGGAGAATGGTAAAAATTCAGTGAAAGAACCAGGAACAAAACTCTGAGGCACTGAAATATGCCTCCTCCAGCACCCAACTCCACCAAGGCTGACACACAGTGTGCGCCCCCTCCTCCAGCACCCAGCTCCACCAAGGCTGGCACGCAGCGTGCGCCCCCTCCTCCAGCACCCAGCTCCACCAAGGCTGGCACGCAGCGTGTGCCCCCCCCCTCCTCCAGCACCCAGCTCCACCAAGGCTGGCACGCAGCGTGCGCCCCACCCCCTCCTCCAGCACCCAGCTCCACTAAGGCTGGTACACAGCGTGCGCCCCCTCCAGCACCCAGCTCCACCAAGGCTGACATGCAGCGTGCGCCCTCCTCCAGCACCCAGCTCCACCAAGGCTGGCACGCAGCGTGCGCCCCACCCCCCCCTCCAGCACCCAGCTCCACTAAGGCTGGTACACAGCGTGCGCCCCCCCCCCCTCCAGCACCCAGCTCCACCAAGGCTGACAACAGGACACGCAGCGTGCGCCCCTCCTTCCCTTCCTCCTCTGCCAAAGCCACTTTTAAGAGCAGCATGGAAAACTCTCAGGAAGAGAAGGTGAAAGGTGGTACTTGTGGTGAACAGGGTGGGGGTGACCTTGCGCACTAACAAGGCTATGGACAATGGTACCCCAGATCCAGCCAACTGGGAAAAGGTCACAGGTCCTCAGCACCAAATTTCCCTCCATTGGCCTCTTACCTTCCCGAAACGGCTGTGTTTGCATCTGCAGTCGGATCTTGATGAGGTCCACGGGACCGCCCAGCCCAACAGAGATCACACCGGCCACCATGCTGGCCAGGAGGAGGTCAGACAGACTTCGGCCAGGGCCGGTCTCAGGCTCCTCACAGCGGTGCCGGCTGAGGAACCGTTCCGTGTTACTGAAGACCCCGAACACCACCGAGTTGTAGACGGCAACGCTGGCCAGGGGGAAGGACATGCCCTTGAAGAAGCCAAACACCTGTGGCAAGGGGATCCAGTGCGAGGAAGTGTGAGGCCGAACCACTGCCCCAGGGTCTCTGTCTGCATACTAGGTGTGGGACTCCCCTGATGCTCTGGGCCTCCCTCCTGGGAGCTTTGGGTAATACATGCTGGAGACATCCCGAGTCAATAATCCACTGTCTCAGAAAAGAGCTCCAAAGAGGGTCTAGATGGCACAGATAAGACGGAGGAGGAGGGCCACACACAACCCAGGCAGTCAGTCTAGACCCAAAGAGGAGCCTTCTGCACAATACAGCCTTGGCATCGTATATGATGCTAAGATGGTGTGTGTGTGTGTGTGTGTGTGTGTGTGTGTGTCTGTCTGTCTGTCTGTCTGTCTGTCCCAAACGGCAGTGTCTGGAGCTGGAGAAAAGCAGGCTATGCTGCAGAACACCTGAGAAGCCCTAAGGAGCAGTGGGCATGACCAAGCACCGACACACCTCCTCACTGGCCTCTCAAGCGAAGCATGCGCTCTCTCTTTGGTTGCTTTCTGTATGTCAAGCCTTCGGGGACACCAATAAGAAAACAGTCTTCACCCTCCTGAGCTCATGGTCTGGGGGTGGGACAGATGAGGATGGGGAGCAGGGTACAGACAAACTGACAGGCAATATAGTACAACTCACTAAGTCTGTGGTAAGGGGCTAACAAAGGGATCTCCCAACAGTGCCAGGAACAGCCTGTAGGTGACAGCACCTCAGAATGGGGCCCCCTCCACACACAGACACATATAAATACACACACATACAAACATGCATGCACACACATATATATGCATGTGCACATACATACACACACATAGAGAGAGAGAAGAGGGTAGAGTGGGGAGGGGGAGGCTGAGAAACAATGCTTCCTGCTGGGGTCAGGGTCTCCTCTATAACTGTGTTCTCGGTAAGACCACAGCTGTTCCAAGGAAAACTGGAAAATTCCACAGCCGCTGGAAGAACTGAAACAGTACACACGTGCCACAGATGAGAACGTCCTAGGAGGCCACTTCACACACTGAACATGTGCAAAGCTATGCCACAGACTGGTGCTCCTGACAGGGCAGGACACCCCACATACATGTGCGCACACACACATGTATGTGCAAGTCTTGTTTCAGGCTCTTCCTCCATAACTTGGGATGCTGAGCTACACTACCCCAGAGGCACCACCTGAAGTCCCTGCAGAGTCCTGGCAGTGGGACACTGGCTGGCAAGTACTGCAGAGGATGTGAGCCAGAAAAGGAGACTCAACGGCTCTCTCAGGAGACGGGGAGTCACACCCACCACCTCAGAACGCCAGGTTGGCGGTGCGCACCCTGACTTCAGAGCAGCCAATCGAGGGGGTGGAAACAACACTGGCCGTCAAGACGAACTTGTCTTCTGACAAGCTCGGTACTTGCAGGAGGCCACACAACCGTGGGGCGTTGGTTAGGATGGGGCCTGTGGCACCAACAGTCACAACTGGGTGCATTCCCAGGACTCAGAGGAAAGTGCAGAGCTGCCACGAACTGCCTTTGACCGTTTCTTTAAATTAGGTCATTTCACCCTCAATTTATTTATTTTTTATTTTAGATTCCCAATGGGTAGTCTTAGAAAGCAACCCACTAGTTCTTAAAAGGGAGCTGGTGTTATAAAATATCATTCTGTTTCCTATTTGAAAATCAGCGCCTGGTCACATGGGGAAGGTTCTGTACCCAGATAAAGGGAAGTCTGCTGTGGCTCAGCTTACCCAGCAATCATTGTTTCAGGAAACTGACAGTGGGCCTTTCCATACTGTGGTGCTAAAAGCCCTCAGAGCTTCTCCAGAGTCCATACAACACCAGTGTCTCCCCAGCAACGCCATATGGTGCAAAACGAGAAACTAGGTGATAAGCAGGAACAAGCTGCCTCATGCCTGTTGCTCTGGTGTAGGAGTGTGGCCCTGGCCCCAGCCCGTGGGAGAGCCCAGCAGGCACCCTCCACCCGCCCCAGGACACTCACACTCTCCCTCTTGTACACCATGCGGATACAGTTGAATGTGTTCCCATAGCCAACACCAGCCTGCAGGCGAGTCTGTGGAGAGAGGCAAGGGCAGAGACACACTCTGAGATAGGTCACAAGCCCACGAAGTTGCCCAAAGTGACCTAGCCAGGGAGGAGGACCAGGCTCAGTCCTGGCCAGCTTGGTGACACATGATCTTCAGGGACACTTGCTCTGATATCCATCCAGCCCAGTTCCACACAGCAGAAGGCTGCTTGAAGTCAGAGAATGACCCAGATCAGTTAGGTGTGTAACTATGATGGCTGCTGAATTTAAGAGGCTCGCCTCAAGTACAAAAAGCCAAACCGTGGCTCTGTCCTACCTCTGAGGTCCATCACTCCACATCAGTCCATTGTTCTAGATGTCTTTGGGGACACCTGCCCATTTTTCCACCTTTCTAGTCTCTGTCCCTCTCTCACCTGGACAAGGCCTCCAGCCCTTCTCTACACCACAGCCAGGCTGATGTTTCTCAAAAATCACTGCAATCATGACACTCTGTTTACAACTCTCCAGGGCCCTCTATCAAATGCTGCCAATGCCCAGGCACTTTGAGGGTGGGGATTGGCCTGCCTGTTACCCTCCACACCATTTCCTCCAATGGCATCCTCCTTTCCATGCCAACCACACATACATTTCCTGCCTCCAACCTTTGCTCTTGCTGGTCCTCTGGAATTCCCTCCCGTCCCTCTTCTGTTGGGTCTGCGCTTCGGTAGACTATGTAGGGTTCATGTTAGATTAAGACACACATAAGCTTAGTACATGGATTCCCTACCAGGAGAGGGCCACCCATCTCGCTCTCCTCTTGTCCTTGCCTGGAGAACAGCCTTAGCACAGTAACAACTCTGCAGCCACCTAAGAGGTCACATGGCTAGGGCATACGGCATCCTCTAGGAAGTCTGGATAACCGGGGGCAGGAGGCAACAGGCACAGAGCCCACAGGACTGTTCAGAAGAGCGTCTGCCCTGGCCTCAGAGGGTCCCTTCTTTATACATACACTGAAAGTCTCCCTGAGAGGGCCCAGAGTGGTCCTGCCCCCTGCAGCACCTAGTGGGCAGCAAGGAGTGAAGGTCCTCAGAAGGCAGGACAGCAACAGGCTCCAAGCTGGCAGCTGTCTGCAGCCCCAACCTTCCATGATAAGCAAGGGTATCTTCTAGCATGTATCGTTTTAAAAATAATTCTAATGCCGAATGTCATTTATTGAAGGAGGGAGGAGGTCTTAAATACAGGCTTACAGCACAATGGGGGAACCTCGGAGGGCAGAAGTTCACTACCGATGTTTTACAATCTTGCATTTAAGCTGTTAACGCCCAGTATGCAGGATACACAGACAAGGAACTTCCCTTAAGCATTCAGGAGGGTGGAACCCGGCAGGGAATTAGCATAGGGAGGATATCAAGGTCAAGGTCAGCAAGCAAGGCAACAGTTACCCAAAACAGGGGCCAGGGACCTACAGGTCCCCCTTTTACTAAAAAATGAGCTTCTGACTTAGGTTTCATGGGAAATCAGCAGGTCACCTTACACGTCATGGAGACGCCTGCCCAGGCCACATAGGCACTCTGTCTTAGGTTGGTGAGCGCCCCCAGGCATTACCAATCTCTGAATACTCATTATCATACAGGCTCAGTCGTGTGTGAGCTGCAGAATTAACTGCTGCCAAAGATCTCAAAGTGGCGCTGGGCTTGCAATCTGTGTGTTCAACACAGAAAAGACCAACAGAAGTCCTCCTTCCCTGCCCCAGTCAACTACACACATTATAACTTTTTAAATATCTTTTTTAATTTAATGGCTTTTTGTGTCTAGTCTTGTTTATAAAATCTTAGTACCGATTATATTTTAAATTGAAACTTCATAAATCATATTTAAAACACAGAAAGCATGTTTGACTGTATCCAAAATATCAAGTACAGGCAAAGTACAGTGTGGGGGCCCACAGAGAATCCATAGTGAGGCCTTATTCCATCTTGACTGAAGGTCAAGAGAATCTGAGCTTGTTTTGCCCCACAAGGCTACATAACAGGATATTTTGCCAAAGGTGTGGTTACCAGGTGTCTTGAGTACTAAGGAGGTGTTTACACTTGTTTGTGTACTTTGAACCATGATGTCTTTTGTGCGCCTTGCTTTGGGTATAAAAAGACTGTGGATAATAAGCTCAGGGTGACTATGGTATTAACTCAGAGACCTCCTGATGCTAAAATAATAATAATAATAATAATAATAATAATAATAATAATAATAATTCTAAGTGTGCAACTAATATGGGAATACATTGTCAATAAAAGTTTCACTATAAGTTCAGAGGCTCCCCGAACCCTATCTCACTCACCTTTCTCTAAGGAGCAGCCATGGTCAGTGGCATAACCAAGAATTTGACCGACATCTACTTACATTAATAAACATATGTAGCATAGATAATAGATGGGAAATGCTATCATGCTGTGCTGTTCATAAGTGTTAGGTTTATAATTAGGGAGATGAATTACCTTACTCAGACACCATTTGTTAAATGTCAATATTATAAGATTATCAGAAGATTCAGCAATAAAGACAGCAAAATCTCAGACCTCATGGATAACATAGCTTAGTAGGGTTGGAAAAATATAATGAAAAAAAATCTCCAAGAGTAGTTGAGCAACATATAGATGAATTAAAGGCAGAAGGAGGGGCCAGAGAGATGTCTCATCAGTAAGAGCACTGATTGCTCTTGAAGAGGACCTGGATTTAGTCCCTAGCACCCACATGGCAGTTTACAACTGCCTGTGAGTCCAGTTCCAAGGGACCTGATGTCCTCTTCTGGCCTCTGAGGGCACTGCACACACTGTACACAGACACACGTGCTGACAAAATGCTTATACACATAAAATAAAAAAATCTAAAAATGTAGAGTGAACACAGAGCAGGGTGGGTACTAAGGAGGGGTCGATCTGGGAGGAGTTGGGGGAAGAGAGTAAATATAATCAAAATACACTATGAAATACTCAAAGAATACATAAAACACTGCTTTAAAAAAAACAAAGCATGGCAAAATAACTGGAATATAAGCAGACAGTAAACCTCAAAGCTTTGAGAATAATAATTTCAAAATGAAGTATATCTGCTAGCTGAATGCTATAAAAAAAAATAAGCCCATGTCAAGAAAGGCTGAGTGGCAGTGAAGGAAACTTAGGCTGCTGAGTGGGAGAGACACTCTGGAATTCGTAGTAGTAGGGGGCTGAAAGCCACAGAAACCAAACTTGGGGTGGTATGTTCCCAACCAGGATGATGACAGGGACTATGCAGGTGATGTAGGCCTCTCTCCATATCCCACTTAAAGCTGGCATAAGGTCCCAAACTATCTCTCCCTGGCCCCAGCTCTGCCACAGGGTGGTAGAGACAATGGAGGAACAAGTTCCCCCCAAGGTTGAACAGTTAAAGCACTCAAGCCCACGTGGACTTAACTCTAGAGCAAAGCCTGGATCCCAGAGCCTCCACTAGACACGTTGAGCCCTTGGCAGAGTGCTGAGGCTGGCAGCCGAGCCAAAGCTCCTGGCCCTGGTTACACCAGCTGCAGACCGAATGCACATCGGCACCCGGAAGCCCTTATCAAGCTGCATCCTGAAAGTGCCACACCTTACAGATGAAGTACACTGTTGGCTTTAGTTTCCACCATTGCCTGAAGCAGCCCAAGCATATTGTCACTGTCATACAGCTCTGGATATCAGCCATCCCAGTTCCTCACTGCAGGGGAAGAAGCCTTTCCCTGAGGCTGCCAGCCCAGGGCCTGATGGTCAGGGTGCTCCATGGATGAGTCTTGGGCCCCTGGTTTACCTCTTCTACCCCCGCTGTTGTCCGGGCAGGAATGAATTGTCCCTGCTCTGACTGTAGCACTCCGTGGACAATCCTCATGACAGATTCACCAGGAAGGGATTATCTGCCCATTACTGATGAAGTGAGGAAAGTTCAGCACCAAGAGAGGGTGTGTTCGCTTTCTATCACTGGGACAAGACAGTGAAGACCAAGGCCACTTAAAAAGAAGACATTTAATTTGGGGGCTTACAGGTCCATCAGGGCAGAGAGCACAGTGGCAGGCAGGCAGGCCTGGTGCTGGAGCAGCAGCTGAGAGCCCACATGACCCACAGAATGAGGAGAGAGTCTAACTGGAATTGGGGGCTTTTGAAACCTCACAGCTTGCTCCAGTGGCACACTTCCTCCAACGGGGCCACGCTTCTTCATCCTTCTCAGACATTTCTAAGGGAGAACCAAGTGTTCACACATGAGCCTACTGGGCCATTCTCCTCCAAACCACCACAGAGGGCAAGGGTGTGGCTAAGACTGGACTCTTCTGACTGTGTTTGTGGGTACACAGATACATGGGGGTACACATGCACACATGTGTGTGAAGGCCAGAGGACAGCCTTGGGTATCATCCTCAGGGACATCATCCACTCCTTTTGAGATGGGATCTCTCACTGTCCCAGACCTCACCAACTAGATTAGCCTGGGTAGCCAGTGAGCTTCAAGGATTCTGTCTCTGCCTCTCAGTGCTGGGGTTCCAAGTGTGTGCCACCATGAAGTGTGTGCCACTGTGCCCAGCATTTTCACATGGATTCTGGAGATTGAACCCAGGTCCTTGTGCTTACAAGGCCGGTGCTTTGCTGACTGAGCCATCTCACCGGCCCTGCCTGGACTCCTATTTGGGGCTTGCCTGAGCCTTTTCATTTGGCAGAAACTCTAGAGAAAATGCCAGCCAGAAGGAGGAGAATGCTCCAGGGCAAACGAGAACACAAGGATATGTGTCCTGGTAAATCCAGGGCGAGCCACAGGAGCACGCCGCCACACTGGGGCTTCAGCAAGAGGGTTTCTGGCTGGACACCACCTGGATCTTCTCACAAGAAGGGTTTTTCCAGATGCAGAACAGGATGGGAAGAGGACAAGGCCAGGCTTTTCCAGTGTGTGTGCTGGGGTGGGGGAAGGCTTGCCTATGCAGGGGACAAGGAGATTCACTTTCCTAATGGCATGAATCCAGTGGTTCATGTCCTTAGAAAAGAGACACATCTTTGACAAGACACAGGCCATGCGAAGGCAGAGGCAGAGGTGTTAGAGAGGTGAAACCATGATCAGGACTGAGCAACAGCATAAGCCAGGACGGAGCATGGGGCACAGTCCCCTTGAGGTCTCCAGATGGGTCAAACAGCTTGATTTTGCTTTCTGCTTCCTGACTGCAAGAGAATCAATTTCTGGATTTTTAAAAAAGATTTATTTATTTTTACTTTTGTGTATGAGTGTTTTGCCTACATGTATATCTGCGCACCATGTGTGAGCAGTTACTGTGGAGGCCAGAAGAGCGCACCAAATGCCCCTGAACAGATGGTTGTGAACCACCTCATGTGGGTACTCGGGATTGAACCCACGTCCTTTAGAAGAGCAGACATTTAACCACTGAGCCATCTCTACAGCACCAATTTCTATTATCTTACGGCAGCCAATGTGTGGTAATTTACTACAGCAATCCAAGAAACTAATACCCCAGCCATCTTTTTATAGGTCAGTGTGTCACATCCTATTCAACAATAATGTGTTATGAGTTCACTTTTATCCAGTGAACTAGAGAAACAGTGGCATGTCCCTTGCTGTGACACAGAGGAACACATTTGGTGAGCACATCCATGGCCAGTCCACTGGGGAAGCCACTTGGGAGAAGGACTTCGGAAGTGCTTCCACATCATCCCAAAGAGAAATGAATGTATACTGCTTAGATTGCGAACCTTTAAACACATCCTCTGGATTTGGTTAAAGTTGCAGTAACTGGGGAGAAGATTAATTTACACTGATGATATTAAAGCGACAGCTGCCAGCTGAGCATGCCTAGTGGGTATCAGGAACGACTTTCTCACAGTCACCCTGCGAGGCAGAGTAACTGAAGCCTGCATCACAGGCTGTGCAAGCAGGAGCTGCCCGAATCCGGGTTTAGACCCATGCTGTGCCGCTCCACAGCCAGGATTTCTAGTTTGAGTTGTGCCTACCAACTGATCCCACTGGCGTTGATTATCAGAGGGACCTGTGGTGGGGTAGACTGGGAAGGAATTTGGTGAGTCTGAGCAAGTTGGGAGGCAGGAGTAGTCAGTGCCCTCCAGACAAAAGAACAATAGCTGAGCCCCACCCTGGAGAGGTATACAGCAGGCACAGAATAAGCCTGGCCCTGACCTAGGAGGGGCCATTGGCACATGCAGAGGAAGACAGAAAGAAAAGAAATTGTAGACATTTGAGTCAGGCCTCAGAGCTTCCTCTGTGTGCAGACCAGGCAGTCTTAGGAAGCATTGGAGCTCTATTGGTGGCCATGGCTGGGTCCCACTCGCCATGCATGGGTCATGTGTGGGATGACTGGGACTCAGGCTGTCCTTTTGTGGCATCTCACTCCTTCATTCCTGTTTTTCATGATATGACCTGAGACAAGCTCCCCTACCCCTTCAGGGGTACCTGTGAATGTCAGGAGGGCTCTGCTGGCTGCAGGGTCCTCATGCCCTATGTGCCTTTTCAAATTATTCCAACCCAGGTCCAAAGCCCCAGCCTGACAGCCACGCGCCCTCAGGACTGAGTGCTGACCTGCCTACATTGAGTCCGCAGTTGTAACGCAGATTCAGTGCAACACCAAAACTGTCTTGCTGGCCTTTGCCAAGCATGGTGCCCACCTCAGCACTCCTTCCCATGGAGCTCCCTGTGCCTGGCATGAATTTCCAGTGACTGGAAACCCAGTCCCACAAGCTCAGACCCCAGCTCACATCTGAAACCTTTTCTGATTGTTCAGCTCCCCAGGGACTTGGAGGAGGACAGTCATCTGTCCCCAGG